AACTGACTGTGGCAGTTTGGATAAAAATAGTTCTCTAAACAGTCCTTCATCGAACTGACTTTGGCCAATGATCTCTTTCATTCTTGCCAGCATGCTCACGGCTGACTGATCTCCTAACTCGATGTTACGAAATAACTCATCCAGACGTTGTCGATCTGTGAGAACGTTTCTCTTGAGGATGGATGCTTTGAGCAACTCGTACGAGTTTTTTACCGACATCTGCAGAGTTACGCACCTGCTGAATTCCCGCGGTAGGGCGTGAATAACTGCAAGGAACTGTGAACGTTGATCAGTTATGCCATGTTCACAAAAATCGGACTCAGCAATCTGAAACCACGTTTCAGCATTATCTGGCCAATATGGTACTAGCTGGATTGTTTCGGCGGTTGAGCGAATCTGAATAACATTGGGGCTAGGATCACTCATGACGAAAAGTATGCCGATAACAATATAGTACAAGAATAAACACAAAAAGGAACGAACTCACCGGGTTTATCTGCGTGTGAATTGAAGATGTAGTTCGTGGTTGGGCTCACCAGTTTAGGGGGCTGGTATCGAACGTTCGCGAACTGTACGGATTATACTAACGCAAGATCTTATACCAACAACCACTATAGTGTTCGTTCTTCGAGTACCAAATGGTAAAGCAAAAGACCAGATTTTGTCGTCCAAAGTACGTATTATATTTCGGGACAAAATCGCGGATAGAGGTGAATGCTTAGCTAGCTAGTAATCGTGCACGCACGTGACACGACGGAGCACCAAATGGCGGGGATGCTTGACCGTAAGCCTTCAGCTAAACAAGTCGACTTAAACAGTGGTGGTCAGCATCCAATGTTGAGTGATGATTGCTGTGGTCAATAATTTTGGGGAATTATTTACCGCTACATAGTCATTGGTATTACCAGGATACCACTTACTCGTTTTATGCAGCCGAAATATACAAATCTCGCTTTATTAAGGAAACACTATAATGCCTGCAAAAGTATTGCGTCAGTTAATGAGTTTCATAAATTCTACAGAATGTTTTCTATTCAGTGATTACTGTTTGCGAATTATCCGAGAAAACACATTTCCAATTGGGATGTAACACAAGGCTGAATTCTTAAACTGTCATCCTTATATCATTTCAATGCAATCACACATATATCAGAATAATAGTCTATAAATGACTTTAGAGACTTATCATCATCAACTTACAGTTTGCTGATGATACTATACACCTAAACTATGAGAAGTAACCCCTGATACTGGAAAATATGAAAAGAATACCGGTGTTTGATTATAGGTGTCTGTGTTCTATCTCATGAGTAAAACAGTATAATACGGCGATTGCTGTTGAGGTTAGGCATAAATTTTTATGTAGGGAGGGTAAGTTAGTCTTCAAGGCAGGGAAGCTGAATAGGTTGAGATGGCTATAACGCGTGATGGCATACCGAGCCATCGCCTTCCTCGAGGGACAGTGTTAGCCAGCACATGTTAAGGTTCAAAATATGTTTGGGTCGGTCAAATGAAAAACTGGTATTGGTTCATAAAATCGTTGACAGTCAGCTAGAAGAACTACTAGATATATGTCTGCAAGTCTTTGTTTATGGCACAGATGCATTCACTCTGTGTAATCTCACGTATCTATTCAACGTATCTATTTTTTCCTTTTTCTCATTTACACCCTTCTCTCGCATAAAGTTCGGTTGCTCTGATGATAAAAAACAACACTCATGTTTGAGAATAACTTTATTTTCATAGAAAACGTCATAGTTTTCCATGGTAAGACCAATACGGTTAGCATCATACATTTCAAATGTGCACTATCATATTAAGTACCGTATAGATTATTCTTCTATTTTTCTTGTAAATATACTTCCAATAATGTATTATTCATGATTGCATTTTATACCACTTTATAGCTGTGCAGGATTTTCTCCCCTTCCTGAAATAGCGTTCAAGCATGTGGGGTCAAAGTACTCACTCACATACATATGTTGTTTATCGATGGGCCATTACTATCATCAGGAAATGGAACGAAGTATGGGTTGTCGCTCAACTTCGATGGAGACCTTCGTGAAAGATTTACAAATTAACAATTATAAGAATATGTTCCGATTGCTTGTACTATAATCCAACAATCTGAAATTTTTAAAAAGTGAAAATGTATGCTAATTCACAATTGTAATTCGTAACATAATTGATCGTGCCTTTAAAAATGGCATGCATTTCATATTTCTATATTTCTTTATGTGCTCCATTGAACGACTAACTATCAGAATGTGCTCACTAACTGATGTCAGAGAGGACAGCAACCATGTAATTTCACTATAAATCAAATTCATGTAATTTAAATAATACTTATCCATGCCTGTACAACTGGTGTGTCCTACATTGATAGGAAAATATATATTATTATAAACTTACCCGTTTATACGAAATATATATGTTATTATTATCATGTTGTCGCCATTTATTCTCCCTCAAATTTTCGCTCGTTAAACTTCCATTTAGTTATATGTCTCTACCTTTGTGTGGTGCATGGAATGTGGTAAACTAAACAGTTGGACTTCTTTGCGAAGTCATACTGAAAGCCAGGCAGAATGACACAGGCTAGGCATAACTAAATGCGAAATACTGAATAATGATCTCCAGAATGTAAACAAATGATAATTGCAGTTCTTAATCTTGTTCTTTGCTAAATGACAAATAGATATCTTTCAGTAATCTCTTCTTCCAGCCGGGACTCGTCTCCTACTTTGCAAGTGTTTTTTGTGCTAAGCTTTAAGTTATTCAGCATATGCCGTTTTTGACTAAGGACCTAGATGACATAAATTGAGTAAGGTATTGGTCGTGCAAACAGGAGTCCTGTGCAGGTGATTGGTTGCATTATCATTTCCCAAATGGAATGCAGCATACTGTATATTAGGGTAAATCTTCCGCCTTGCTTGGTGAAGGTGGTGTTCCTCAGGGTACTGTTATCTCTCCTTTTCTTTTCTCTCTCTCGTTTTACATGAATTTTCTCTTTCTAATGAGAGCAACTTCGTCAAATACTCTGGTGATCTGACCGTCTCACTTCCTGTCATGTCACAATGTGTCACCAGGAGGACTTCATTTTTCAGTTTATTCGTGTATATACTATTGCGCATCTAGTTGCACTGCGATTCCACATGTAGCAAAAGATTACGAATACCTTGCTCTTCTCTTCTGCATAAGAAAGTTACTTCACAAGAATAGCTATATTAACTTCAGTAAGGACAGATATAAATTTCTCCACTTCAGTGTTATGAGTTAATTTGTGAACTGTATAGGCCCCTAAAGTAATGCATTTGCCGTGCATGCTGCATAGTGAAATCAGGAGTGTGCATGTTGTGCTAAATCTTCTGCGCTTTCTGTATGGATTAGATGTTCATCAAGTGACCGTTTAACAACTGCTGAGTGTTGCATGTGATCCGGCTAAAAATATAACTGATAATTCCAAGAATTTCTGTCGTTTTCATAGGCAGCGGTTCATAGCCTATTGAGTTTACACAAGTACAATGCCCATTTATCACTTCACTGAGGAGAAATTAACTATGATTCTAGAAAAGTAGTACGTCAGTATGTGAATTTCATGAACCTGTAGATTGCATTCAATTCACTTAATACTGAAACTAAACTATGAGGGAACTGATATTTCCAAGAAGGATATAATACAAGGCTCATTTCTACAACTGTCGTCCTTATTTTAGTTCGCTTTCATCATACATGTATTAACAGAATTGTCTTTCACTCACTTGAAGGACTTACCAGGGAACAGTCTTGTCAACTTAGTGTATGCGAAGTGGAAACATATCTGAGGAAATATGTTTTGCTTTTTACCAACTAAATATAATATTTTTCAAGTGTGGAATGTAACAAATCGAACTGCTACACTTCTCTATTGAGTTCCATGTTAAAACTCAGCCAGTCAGCTTTGTCACTGCAGATGCGTAGTGTCACAACTCACTGCAGTGTTAATTGGCTCAAACAATTATGAATGCCGTTTCTTAAGTACTCTATGCATTTCCCAATTCCTTAAATTGTCCAGATAAAGTGCACTGAAGAAAACATTAACCAAAAGTCAGTAACACGGACATAAGAATTAGTGTAAATAGAAGTGAATGAGATGGGTGATTTTTGTAAACCTGTAGTACGCTTAACTGAAATACTCATGTATATGAATGAAGCTGTATCGTTCACAAGATGGTTGTATCAAAGAGGACACTGAAACATAAACTAAGTCTAACATGAAATACCTTGGAGTTGTTATATCCTCTGGTCTTTCTTGGTAACTCTATATCTTGTCGATTTCTGTAATGTAATCTTTACAACTGTTTCGAATATTACTTCATAAAATTAGATACAATAATGTACGAGATGCTACAAATTCAACACTATGACATTAATACTGTTTTCGGACAAAGGAAATTATTGTTACTGTCGCACCTCGCTGCAGTGTTAATCTGCTTATACCCTTATTATTGCCGTATCCTAAGTATTGCACTAATTTTCTCATTTCCTTGCACTGTGTAAATAGGGTGCAACGAAGAAGTAACAGTGAACTATAAGTAAGTAACGCTGATGCAAGAAATGGTACCAGTTGAAAGAAATGAAATGAGTTGAAGACTTTGTACTAGTAATCTCCTTTATTCCAAAACAGTACTTGACTTATTTACCTATGCATTTTAACGTGTCTTCTAATTATCTTATTTTCGTCTTTGTAGACATTGCCTAAGATGTCGTTGTACGCATCGTCTGGAAGCAGCCTTTAATTTCATCTACCTTCCGCGAAGTTTGTCGTACGAAACGTCGAAATTTTACTGACTGGAAAACGCTACAATTGGTATTTATGTTACTGATGCAGCGATACACAAGACTAGACACGTTATAGCAACGTATGCCTGTAAAAACATTACCTACATAGTAAATACCATGCTAATTACAAAAACTCGTCATTGTCTTTTTATTGCGTACTTACAAGAAAAAAAGTTTACCTTACTTCTCATACTAAGTACTCAAGATTCCGCCTAGTACTGACTTCTACTTGCTCTCTATAAAATGCTTTCTACTATATTCGCAAATGACTCTTGAAATTTGTCACATGAAACGGTAAAACATGAGGCGTACACAGTTTAGAATTTATGGTATATTTGCAGTTATTGACACAAAATGTATGTACATCTTCCATTTTCAAACAAGAAAACTCTCAAAGTAATTCAGCATTACTCGCAGTGCACTAATAGTGTATTCATTTCTATAATTATCCTGCATAACTGCGAAGCTTCTGTTCAATTGTCTGAGAAGTTGCAGTATCTCCCTGCAGGGTTTCTTCACTGGACCTTCACACGGCACACTACTTGGTAGCAACGGATCATGCCGAAACCATCTGCGACACAGGCGAATTACTTTGTCAACTAAAAATATTAATTGAAATATTAGTAAGAGTTTGATTTACCTGTAAACTGAGGAATTTGAGTGTGACATAACAGCATATTCCGGCAAGGTATTCTTTGTGCCCTAAAAATTCTGCAGGTACAAGTAGAATTGGTATAATCCACTTGGTGCAGGTATATGCCGTCATTTATGATAGCCATATCATCAGTATACAACTCTATGCTCATCCAACGATTACGGCCATAGTCCTTGGCAATTAACTTAGCGGCATAAAGAGTGAAGTTTCGTAATATCGGCATAACTGGTTCTGGTGCGTGGTACTTATGAATCCGACAACTTGCGACGATGACTTCAACACTCCTACGCTTCTCTGTGCGTACACACCATTTATACGTCCTGTACATACATACGTGTAGGGGATCTCTTCTGTGGAGATATCGTTTTAGGTGACTGAGAGCTTTCGACTCTATTGTTGGTACTATTAAACAGCAACAGAGTATTCGGCATATATGCCGCAACCCACGTCTCCTTCTTAGGCACCCAGTAATGCCCGACATAATTTCACACCCTCCGATCAACCGTCCTAATGACATTAAGGTAGTGATGAAATCTAAGCGGTTAGAAATTAATGCATTTACCTTTCTGGTGTCGCAGCTTTAACAAGACGATATAAAAACCCGCGCACAAAAGAATTTCGAGTCTAAGTGCATCAAGTATTAGTTAAATTCACCTCACCTTCCTGCTGAAAGCCCGGCATACATGAAATGCACAGACGACGATTTTCGCCTGAATTTGACTATTACGCAGGGCGGATATCTCAGAGTTGGCCGAATCCATTACGAAAAATTCTGTAATGGACATATCCTGTACTATTCTTTGGAATTGTTCCAATATCCAAGCTACATCACATGACCTCTCTCGTCTCGTCCATGCCAAAAAACAGGCCTGCCAGTACCCATATTGTCTGTTACCACCAACTGAAACAGAGAATATCTGATTAAGATTTGTCCACCGTTTCACTTATAACCTACCCGTCCTTATTGGTATTGTATGTTGAGTCAATACACACCACCTCTCCATATTTCCGATATAACTGAACCTGTGATTCCAGGGCGAAGCAAATTCTGCTGGTTATCCCTGTATTCGAATCCACGTATTCAACCACCTGACCGCTTTGCCTTATTATGAGCATAACATCTGATCTCAAAGGCATGGCTTCAAAAATAACTTTAAACTACATCACTTACCTAGTCTCACATCCTTACGTAAATTATACACATCTGTGCTCGTCGAAATTTTATTAAAATTCTTTTCAGCATATTCCAAAACATCAGCAACCTCAGATGTAGTCTTCACAACTGGTGCAATATTCTCCTTTTCATCCCCGGACAGGCGTCTAAAATATGGATCACCTATCATAAGACTTTTTTCACATCTGTGATTGTGAACTGTTTCCGCGGAAGAAATGATAAACTCGTCCTCCTTGTAGCGTATACGAAAGCCAGATTGGCAACCAGTGTATTTTGCACTGCAGAAATAAATAATAGAATTCTTACGGTTTGACGCGTAAACCTGAACCTCTAGTTTTTCGCTTCATGCCATATGTACAACGAAAGACTACTAATTTGTACTTCAAATCCTGAGATTCATGGTCCCGTATGCACTTTTTGATCACCTAATGTGTATGAGTTGCCTAGGAATACTCTGTCATACATATATATGTATTACTGATTCCAGCTGACTTAGAGCATCTTCTACTTGAACCCAACTGGTATACCGGTGACTAAACATAATTCCGTCAAAAGTTTTTTGATATCCACTGATATAGGAATGGCAGGTTGGTCGCCATTGTCTCCAAGTGCCAATGCGTCCATTCGGTACCACTGTAAATGAAAACAGAAGCTTTTCAATAAAAAATTCATGAATAGCCAACAGAGCACAGTAAGCAACTTAAAAGAGACATTGACTTGGAAACTATAGCGGAAAAAATATAAATCACATACCATAGTTACCGGTTTAGAAATGATAAGGGAGATTTGTAGCTCAAATGGATGATTTTGATGTGGTTGTGTTCTCTGAGCTGGATAGTTGATTTGCGAAGCTTTCATCACCCTACTAGGTGACATCTACAGCGCATACTTCAATTTGAAGTGAGCTTTTAGATTTCTCCACGAGCTTATTAATCATCTCTCCTGGCGACCTTGGACGTGATTGGTTGTTTTTGTTTGTTTTCACACCTTCTAGGTTGCTTGCATTGTCACTCGTTGTTTCTTTGACTTGAACTTTGACCCTTTGTGTGTGACGTTTCTTTCTTATCGGTTGATAAATTTTGTCTATCGATTGATGATTCACTGGAATGCCAAGCTTCTAAAAATTCTCTAGCATTCTTGTTGTTTCCTCTGTCTAATATTTGAACGTTGTCCCAGTCAAATTGGTGTCCGTGGTTGTCTGTATGTAGTGATATGAGGGAGTGGATATCATGTCTCTTGACAGCTAGCTTATGTTCGTGGATACGAAGACGAAGGGGACGTCCACTTTGGCCAATGTAGTGTTTCTCGCAGCTGATACAATCTATTTTGTAGATGATGTTGGTTTTATCTTCCTTCGCTGTTGAGTCTTTTGGTTGACATAGAATTGAGTGAAGTGACTTGGTTGGTTTGTGTACGACGTCAATTCCTAAAGGTTTGAGGAGTCTTGTGGTGATTTCTGAGATATCCTTTATATATGGTAAGGCGATTTTCTTTGTGCTTTCTTAGGGGGCTTTTGGTTTGATAGGTTGGCTTGGGGGTATATGTCTTTTGATGAAATTCCGTGGATATCCATTCTTTTGGAAGACGTCCATGAGATATTTTTCTTCAATTTTCCTTAAGGTGGGAGTGCTGCAATGAGTCCTGGCTCGCTTGAATAGTGTTTGTATGCAATTCCTCTTGTGTGCTATTGGATTGTTGCTGTTGTAATTCAGGATTTGGTCTGTGTGAGTTGATTTTCTATAGACTTGAGTTTCTAATTCTCCTGTCGTTGTTCGCTTGACTAAGACATCCAAAAATGGGATTTGGTTTTCTGATTCCTCTTCTCTTGTGAATTTGATGTCGTTGAAGACGTTGTTTATCAGGTTGTGAGCTTTATCTAACTCGTTTCTTTTGATAATTACGGATGTGTCGTCTACGTAACGTATCCAAATCTTGGGTTTGATCTTTGGTAGAATTATGTTCTCGAGCCTTTGCATCACTGCTTCTGCAATCAAACCTGATATTGGCGATCCCATAGGTGTTCCTTTGACTTGTTCATATATTTGGCCGTTGAATTGGAAGTACGTTGTTAGACATAGGTTTATGCATTCCATCCAACTTGTGTGTTGCATTTTTGATTTTTGTGGGAGGTGTTCGTCGTTGCTAAGTGATTGCTCCATGGTTTCTTTTGCTAGTTTTTGTCCGATTGAGGTAAACAATGCTGTGACGTCGAAGGATATCATTGTCTCTTGTTCATCTATTTGGATGCCTCTGATTTTCTCTAGGAATTGGATGTCGAAAAAGAATAACTAGAGAAAACCCTCAACCAGGAACACCTATCAACGCTGATCACCGCAATAACATTGTCAATTAGAAAACACAGAGAACTAAGACGAAGAGTCCTCAAAACCAAGCTAGCCAAGATTAGAAAACAACAACCAGACAACACACCTCTAGACTGCGTAGTCAACCTATCAAAACAACCAATATCAAAAATGGAACAACAACTACTACAAAAAGGATTGAACTACAACACCGGAGATGCCTCGAAAACTGATTTCTTCGCTGCTTTTGAATCATTACTCAAATCATCAAACTTAAAAGAGGAAACAAAGGAAGAGATACGCCAAACAATTGTACCAATGGTCAAACAGAAGAAACAACACACACAACTCAACTCTCAAGAACTAAAGGCCCTCAAAAAGCTGAAAAATAGGAAGGACAACGTCATTTTACCAGCCGAAAAAGGAAGAACAACAGTAGTCATGGACGGAGAAGAATACACCAAGAAAGCTGAAGAACTACTCAAAGACAAGGATTTGTATCAACAACTCCCAACAAATCCCATACAAACACTAGACAACCGCATCCAAAGGACCTTAAGCAAGCTTACCAAAACTGGACAAATCACAAAACAAGACCAATGGCGAATGAAATCCGATGGACCAGTCCTACCCCGATTCTACGGCAGACCCAAAATACACAAACCAAATATCCTGTTACGACCAATTGTATCACTACCAGGAACTCCAACATACAATTTATGCAAAGAATTATACAGAAAACTAAAGCGCCTAACAGAATCTTGTGACCACTCCATCAACTCCGCTATCCAATTCTTAGAGAAAATCAGAGGCATCCAAATAGATGAACAAGAGACAATGATATCCTTCGACGTCACAGCATTGTATACCTCAATCGGACAAAAACTAGCAAAAGAAACCATGGAGCAATCACTTAGCAACGACGAACACCTCCCACAAAAATCAAAAATGCAACACACAAGTTGGATGGAATGCATAAACCTATGTCTAACAACGTACTTCCAATTCAACGGCCAAATATATGAACAAGTCAAAGGAACACCTATGGGAT